CCCCAAAACCCCAAAACCCCAAAACCCCGCACAGCATGTAATTAAGCAGTATAGGCTATATTAATGATTTTATTAATATAATTATAAAATAGATCTGAATACTTATTGAATCCTGCAACTTTCTTTTGAATATACAATTAATTCGCACAAGCATGGAATATCGTAAGAAAAATCTAAAGGCAAAGCCAAATATTGATCAAACCTTGAGGCAGGCGTTCGATCACCAGGATTTCATGACTAAATTAGACTTCTATGGTACATTACGCAAGATCGTTTTTATGAATTAAAATGATCTCAAAATCAAATCAAATAAACCTTGCACTATCACTAGTGAAGGCTTCGCTATATATTTAAACCAGACTTTGTAAACACTGTTAAAGAATTTAGAAATGAAATCGAAAGATCCAAGAAGCTATCTTTATAAAAAATTTAAGATATCTGACTATGACAAGCTTGATCTTTCAAAAGATAATAAACTGAGTCAGCGAATGATAGAATAACTTTATAACTTTTACGCCAAACCACCTGTATGCTTCATTGATTAATCTGACATGCTGAAGAGTACAAGTATTTTTTCTCAAAACCAATTTGCAGGTCAGGCACAGGACCCTAAAGAAAAAGCAAATGTAATGAGTGAGCAAGGCACTTGCAAAGAAATCAAGGTCTGCTTTGAGGGAAGAGTATTTAAAGCGCTAGATGACTTAAGGCGTGACAGAAATAAACAGTAGGGTAACAATAATAGAAAGTTCACTCCAAATGAACAAATGATGGAATCACTTATGACAAAGCATTCAGCAAGGAAAAATGGTGTTTATCAAAAAGACTATAATAAGAGTCCTTTGTAAATCAGGCTCAGATAAATAACAAGTGAAGAACGAACCAAACCTGACGAAACACATATTAATTCAGTAGAAAGCAATACGATCAAGAATTCAATCAATGGATCAATATCACATAGAGTCGACAATCAAAAGGAGTCACCATCCTAGAAAATATAAACCAGGTGCAGGGCAGATACCACAGCTACGAAGGAAAGTTCCTAGGATGAAGAATCAAAGAACGATCCTAACAGATTCTCACCTTTTAGAAAAGGTAGTGACGACAAAACATTCTCAAGTCACGTTCACTTATAATCTGTACTTGAGGAGAAGCAAAAGAAGTATGAAGCATCTGGCTAAGGCAGACTTGGTACAAAACTTGAAAGAATCGTATCTCTTAGCTCCCAAGAGCTGAGTTCTTAATCAAGTATTCCTAAGTTACAAGCACAGTCCTTCAAGCATGCCAAAGATGACAAGGAATTGGATGGACTATTGCTGAATCAGATTGAGGAAGAGTCAAACGACAAAGCCACTTAAAATTATGCAATTTAATCTCAAACTTAGCAGACGTAGTCATCAAAATCTGGTTATCTCTAGAGCCAATCAGAGGTAACTGAGCAGTAGAAAAATGCATACTTCAACTTCAATGTCTCTCAAAGTGACATCTCTGAAATTTAAAGACAACTGCAGAATCTTGATAGCAAGAAGGAACTACAAAAACTACTTGAGAAAAGTGAGTAAACTCAATATAATATGTCAACTCTAGGCACTGATAACCTTCTAGATTCAAATACAAATTTAATGGTACAGCCAAATCTATCTAAACTTTCATCACAACCTCATCCATAGATGAGAATAATACTTCAACCCATGAATTCGTGAACATACGCTTCCTAAACGAAGTGCTTATGAATCTCAACTGTCATTTATGAGAGGACAGCTTGAGACTTACGCTTCGTGCCATCTGAATATTTCAATTTAAGTTTCCATCTCCGTATATGGGATTAATCTAAATAATTATAAATATTTTTGCATTCTTAAACACATTCAACTCAAATATATGCACTTTAATCATAGTTTATATATTATCACTTTATATTAAGAATACTTATTTAGATGATCCTACCCAGGAAGCTTGAGTTTAAATTTTAAACTTAATTAAGGTATTAAACAAACTTAAATCATCCACCATAGTTTAAAGTGAGAATGATCTAAAGCTAGAGTGTGTATTGTACCCGTATAAATTTATATTTCATTTAAAGTTATATAATCATTGACATCAGAATTTAATCGAATCGTTAAATCTACCTTTTAATTTTCATAGTTACCTACTACTGCTAATATTTACCTAAGTATTTAATTCAATCTTGCTACTACCCTTGCTTTTTAGTGGTGATAGCTTCTAATGCTCTATTTCCTCTTGGTATAGGCTTTAAGCTACCTCAGCATAGAGCTCCATTTCGTCAATTGAAGGAGAAAGTTTGGAGAATTTGTTAAGTCTTCTGCTGATCTTCACTCTTTAATTTACCAGTAAACCTGCACTTAGTAAATCAAAGACTACGACAATCAACAGTAAAGACATGTAGTTGGCAGTGCTGCTTGAGTCTTAATCTTTTGAAATAAGATGCGATATGCTCAATCCAATGGCTGCAAACCCGATTAATATGATTACGCTCATTTTGATAAGATAGTTAAGAATAAGGGAAGCTCTTTCTTGTGAAAGCTTCCTGACTCTTTTCTGGAAGTTGTAGTTATAGAGACTAATCATTATTTGGAGCGAGCCGATAAATATTTGGAGAACGTTGAGTGTCTTCTCTAGATATGTCTCTGTTGTCAAGATCATTTGAATGTTAAATAGTAAAGCTGCTGAATGCGCAAAAGTAGCAGCGACGTTGGATATTTGATAAACTATTGGTTACTTATGTGTAGCGATCATTGTTGACTTTTTCTGAGAAACGAAACTTAATAAGATTAGTAAATTAATTTATTTAACAGGTATTAGACAAACTATTTATTATACGAGTTAATGAAAAATATATAATAAGAAAGTCTATTTCTGAGTTTAAATGTTAATAATTTAGCAAACTTAAAAGCTACTTAAGATGGTAGATTAAATTTGGAATAAAGTTAAGATCATTATACATAGGATATTTGATAATTGTACTCAATAATACTTCATTAATCATGAGGGGAAACTAATTAAGGATCTGGGAAGAATTCCTGCATTTTAAGAGGCTTAAATACCCAAGAAAAGGCAGCGAATTCAAAGATAAGGTCGTGTGAGCTTATCTGCTTATGACGAAGTTTATCTAGAATAGCTCTGATGTGAATATCGCCACAATCTTAGAATATCCTATAATGCATATATGTTAAAATTCTTATAGCTTACTCATTCTCTATGAACTATAGTAAATCAGTCATGTGATCTCCGTTGAAGTCCTATCTAAACCATTCTATAAACTTGGGTAAACTGATGTAAAGCATGCTGTCCTTTATATTGATTCTATCGATCAGATAAATTTGAGCAGAGACTCTCAAATCGTTGTCGAAATCTTGAACATTAAAGATTCTCAGCTGAGGCATTTTCTTTATCGGCAGATATATACCAAAGCAGAGCAACTTATTAGGGGATTTCACTTGAAATTTAGCATAAGTAAACTCGATTGCTTGTGTATTGAGCATAAACTAGGATATCTTAGGTGGAAGTAAAGCATATCTAAGAATGGAATGTAGGATTGTATACGCATTAAGACGATGCATACCTAGTTTTATGGTACTTGAAACCATAAAAGACTACCACATATTGAAGTTCTTCAGCTGGCTGACTGCTTCTGGATTACAAAGATGTATCACTGCAAGTTAATAGAGGATCAAGAAGTTAAACAAATTGACAAAGAAGCACTGCTTGACGATGTCATCATCCTCACAAAATATTGGTTCAGTATTTCTCAAATGACTGAAGTACCTGTCGAACCTCTCAAGATCTTTTTAAACAGATGGAAGTTCTTTTTCATTGAAAGATCCTCTCTTTTCTGCAAATTTAGAATTCTTCTTCCAGAAATCTATAATTCTCGAAAGCATCTTAGATACAATTCCAATCGGATCTTTCATTGTGCCTATTATAATTGAACTTTTCTTGACTGTTTACCTCATATCATAATCATTTGACTTTATCTATGTATCTTTCCTTAAAATTGTCATAGTCTTGTAACTCTCATTCTTGCTCTGAGTTTATTTTAGTTAAGGTGAATTCAAATCCAATTCTGTATTATTTGCTTTAAATGTAAACACTTCATGAGTGGCTGATCTTGCTGAAAGTGGAGGGTTTTTATTTCTTGTTTTCTAGGATTCAATTACCGATTTATTGGTACTATCAGATTTCTTATCATTAGTTGATGCAACTTTCTTTAACTTAGTATCTGTTAATCTAGATCTAATATTTTCCATTATATTTTTTTGATTGCTTTCTATTTACTTTTACTTCTTTGCATCATATTTACTTTTCTACTCTTCTTTACATCCTAGAGGAAATGGAGAGGGATCTAACTTGCATTAAAACTTTTATGAAAGCTAGGAATCTCTCTCCTTTTTCTCAATCCTCTTCTGTACATAAGTTTTTGTGATAGAATTATTGTAGAAAAGATTCTCATCACTTTTCTAGAGTTTCTATCCCGAGCTAGGGGTTTGAGATTGCTGAATAATATCATTTGAAGGTTGTCTCAATATTGAACTTTTCTATTTAATGTACTACTTGCAAATCATAGAGACGCATGGTCTATCCTGCTTCTGGCCCAATTTCGTAAATAATTCGAGCTATTAGGATTAGGACAAGCTCTCCCAGATTTGTTGGAATTTTAAAATAGGGAAAAATTGCATCTTGTTTGTTGGGAATTTAAGTAATATTTTCCAAATTGAAGTATAAGCATCTTCGAGGCCCTCAAAACTCTCAAAAAGTTTTTATCTGAAAAGAATATATTGATAAGTCCTTTTCAAAGTATTGGCATTAGAGTCCCAAAACTCAATGTTAAACCATTCCTTGTCATTTTTAAATCTATGTGAGCCGTTTGAAGATGGAGGATTTGCAGTGCTGTTTTTCAGTTGCATTCTATGTAGATTCAGTATTTCATATGATTTTTATGAAACAGGTGTTTTCATTTATTGCTCCATTGCAAAGTTTTAATGATGAAGCTATTTATTTTATGGAATTCTTGTAGGGGATTTTTCCTCTTCATAGACTTCCTAAATTGGTTTATTCATCTTTAATTCTCTTGCAGCTTAACTCTGCTTCTTCTCATAAATAGTCATTTAGTCTAGCTAATTTGAGATTGCAAAGTAGTAATTAACTCTCTTAAGTTGTGTAACATTTAAAAGTCCAAACAAATGATGCATAAAGTTAATTAAACCTTGCTTTCCATACATCAAACGAGAGATTCTTTGCTATGAACTCAATAGTCTTTGTAAATCTCTTTCTATTGCGCTATCATGTGAATTACTAAAATGAATAAAGCTCTAAATCTCTTCTTGACTATTGATTAAGTCGAGAGGGAGTTAAACTTAGGTTGTATTTTAAGTTGTAAAGTTTTGCTGTAAATTCTTGGACAGTGCTGAATCTAAATTTTGTACCTGGATATTTGGTTATTATTAATACTGCTATTATGTTTGCGAGGGCTTTATATTATTTTATCCAGGAGTTGACTATAAGTTTTAGAATACATTTGATTAGTTGAAGCGCTTATTGATCTTTTGATCAATAAATGAAGATGGCTGCACATCATTATCTACAGTATTAAGAGAATCAGATGAAGTTCTTTTCTAAACTCTCTATCGTTAGGGTTAATTCAACCTTTATTATGAGGGATTTTAACCTTATCTTTAATGAGGCTATCTTGAGGCACTTTATTCATGAACTGAAATGTTGTTTTAAGTCATTTTCCTTCTTGCAGAGGTATAATGTTGGAGATTTTATCTTTATTCGGCATTTTATTATCTTTCTTTATGCTTGCTAGGATACAACTATTTGATATTCGAGATAATCTTCTCATACATGAGATGATCTTTATTTTAGATTATATCCTCATTAGTTTTTCTTGAGATTTTCCTTTCTTTTTTCTTCAAGCTGTCTTCTATCATAAATTAAATTTTCTCAAACAGCATTACTTTTTGTTTTTCATGCGGCATCCTAAAATTAAAGACAACAGGTTCTGAGTCTGGCCAATTACATTTCCCTTAGTTGTACTTTTAAAATTCTTCTAAGTTAAAACCTTCAAAAATGTTAGATTTCTTTCTCTATCCCAAACCATCATCTTTAGGGTTACTGACTTCACCCCTAGCTTTGTAAATCTCTTTCAGCATAGTGAAGTTATTCAAATCTTCATCTGAATATTCATCACAAAAATGCTAGAATTAAGAGGATTAAATAAGTGCCTTCGCAAACTCAAGATGCATTTATCCATAACATTCAAAATTTTCCAAAAACTTTTCCTGTTTGAAGTATTTTTAGAAATAGGCTCCATTCGGGTCGACACTCTTGTCTATGCATTCTTCTATTCTTGAGAGGTAAGGCTTTAGCATTTTGAAGAATGTTTCTCTGACTTAGACAACAAAATCATCGTCATCTGGAATTTAGCTATCTGGGTAAGCTTTATCATACTAGTTGATTCTCGAATTCTTTAATGTCTATATAAATCATTAAACTAATTGGTTGAGTTACATTCAGGGTTCTTATGTACATGCTTTCATCTGGATAGCATGGCAGACTTATAGTGTTGGTGAAGCCTGCATCAATGTCGCATATCACTATTTCTGGGTGGTTTAATGCTTCAAAGTAGTCGTAACTATTGATCATACTGTTTGAGCCATAAATGCAAACCATTATTCCTTCACAATACCCTGCGAGGTTCTCATTTCCTGGCTAAATATAAGTGTTTTACCAGGTCATAGGAAACATTAGCTGCTTAAGTGCCTCGGCTACATAAAATGATAGAGAGTATTAGGAACTAACTATTACCAGCTAAAAAACAATTAAAAACTAATAATTTTTACAGATTTGTCAAATAGCAACGCTTTCCAGCAATAGATAATTGATTTAACATCTAGAACTTCAAAGAGGATCTTTATTGGTAGTTAATTCTTATTAGGGATCTGATCTAATCCCGTTTCTTTGATTTAGAATACTTAATTCAGGCAGAAAAGATTATAAGTCGAGTTGAATGAAGGGGCTGGTATTGTTTTCAAAAAAGCCAAATGAGTAATTAGTTCTGCGAAGGCAATTGTTCTGTTATCATTAGCTCTGTTGCCTGCAAAGTTCTCAGGAATTCTTATCAAGTCAAAAAGAGCGAGCATAATTTGCTTGAATACATCATGGTACTCTGTTTCAGTCTCTAGACATAAAGCTACAGGCACATATCTCTTTTTCTCCATTAATTGGTACTACTGGTCGTCATCACTAAATAAGATGTTATTGGAGTCTGGAAAGCCAGAGATTTATCTTTACAAATGCGCCTCTTCAGTTTCTTCATTATCATTATAGCTTGGCTAGTATTGTTCCTTTGTTTAGGGAGAAATCCATTCTGTTTACTACGATAGTTCTCCTACAGCAGTTTGTCCAAATCTTTTCTTGCTCTAACGAAATTTGCTGTAGTAATCCTCATCTATTTAAATGCCAAACTCATTTGCTTTTTAATCATTAGCTAAATTAGCTGCTCTTGTAAATGTAACAGATTCTTCCAAGGGTTAATTGCCAAGATTAGGGGTACCAGTGATATCCTTAGAGGAATTAGTTTTTAATGTCATTTGCTCCATATCAGAGGGGTTCCTTAGAACTGTACCTTTCTTGCTTGATCTCATCACTCCATTATATTCTTTGCTTGATGGCTTTATTACATAACTTGAGGACTACCCTGCCTTTGCAGTTGATGTATTATATAATGCTTTGTTGCTATTTCCGCCCTATGGTTTCCCTTTGTAGCAACTCTAAGCAGCGATATTTTAGTATTTGTATTTCGGGTCAAACGCTGATATTTGCATGTTAATGGTATTTTGAGTTTGATTGAGAGACTGAAGAGCAGTATTTTAGTTATTTTGATGTCCGTGATTCTAAATTTCAAGCATTAAAATATCCATCTTGTTCTTCTTTTCCTATTCAATTTTTTTCCTGTCAAGTTTCTATTTTTTATTTTGATTCTTTTACTTAATGAGCTCATCTACCGTATTCTTTTTTGGAGTGGTGGGTTCTTTGTCTTCATTGTCGGATTTATCATTTTTCATTCTGAGTACTTCTAAATCACAAACATTAAGACATTTAGTCTGTTTTCTGTGTTCAAGCATTTTTCTTACTCTCTTGTCATTTCTTTTGAATAAGTCATCGTTATTAGAATCAGTGTTTAAGCCTAGCTTCCTTTCATTTTCACCAAGCGACCCATCTCTGAGATTTGAGGGCTAAGGATCCTTCTTATTTTTGAGAGTCATATGCTTTTTCTTGAGATGCTGTTTCCTGAGGATCTCAGCCACAATATCAAAATCATTGGAGGATATTTCAGCTTCATTAACCTCCTCATAAAAAGTAAGAACATGTATGAATGAATTGAATCCCTCAGCATCTGTTGTCATGAATGTATAAAATTTAGGGTCTTAAGGCTTGTATTCTACTGCCACCTTCATTGGGAATACAAACTAATTCATAGGGTTAATATCAAATTTGATTGGAATAGATGAGTAATATGAAGCTATACTTACCTAAAGGTAATCACTAACTCGCTCTCTTTTCTGATACATAGTAAAGAGCACTTCGGGTGAAATCTTGTAGGCCTCTCCAGAGTTGATTCGATCTAGAATAAATTAAGAGGTTTTGAAGTAATACCAGCTAGTGTCTTTTGATTGACTCCTGCAATGAAGAAGTTTTTAATCAAAGTATTAGGAATATTGGGGAACTTTGAGGTATTTTACATTTATTATAAATTGGATAAATTAAATTCAAAGATTTACCAACCTTATTTTGATTTAAGTTGAACGGGGTTTTGGGGTTTTGGGGTTTTGGGGTTTTGGGG